GGCAAATGCTTAGAATCTGGAATTCCTGGTGCTTGCCGAGGTGGCAAAGCTCTCATCAGCTCTCAGCTGGCACATTGTGGAGTCCACACTGTGTTGGAGCTCTGAAATACTGCTTTTCCCTCCCAGGAAGCGTGAAACTCTTCACCTTTGGCTTTGGAGATGCTCATAAATGCTCCAACATTCACTCCACTACAGCTTTATGGATTGTGTTGTAAATCTCTGAAATGATATGGCACAAGTGGAACAGTGGAGAGAGCTCAATGAGAAACAAAATACTGCCACTTCCTGCTGTCAGTTGTGATTTTTATTCAAGGCATCCCCTCTTTGCATACCCAATACACAAAGGCTGGCTCTGTGTTTCACCTTTTTTTTTTTGCTGAATATCCTTCTTAGCAATTCTTTTCTTCTCTGCTTTCTGGTTAATAAAAAATAGGTGATACAAAACCTTTTGGAGCCTAAGCAGCAAGGCTGGTTAAGTAATTTGTTTTAACATTTTTCAGTGATTTCTCTTTCAAAACTGATGAATGTTTTTATTTGATTTGCAATCATTTATATCAAGATTGGGAATTTGGTTTTGGTGCCTGTGAGCAATGTGGCATCTCCTTGTTGGAAGCTGAAGGGGCTGCTCTGGCCTGGAAATACTAAACCATCACAACTCTTTATTGAAAACAGTTCTTTCCTGGTATCAGTTTCTCAAACAAATTTGTTCCCGGAATGGGAATAATTTTTAGTGGCATGATGGACACGCATTGGTTTTCTGAGTTGTTTTGGTTGACTGTGGATTGTTTTCTGAGATTTCTTGTGTCAAGGACTGGGGGATGCCTGAAGACAAATAAATCATAGAATTGGGGAAAATGGCCATCAAAGCCAATTCCTTTTGCCAGAGGATTATCTGTTCCCCCAAGTCTCCACAAAGTAGCAGTGCCTTCCAATCCCAGAAGCAGCTCTCAGCACTTCTTCAGAAGGAAAAACAAGCTTGGCTGAGGCAGGTAAAATATAGAGAATCTTTCTTTGAGGAGACTGAAAAAAAAGAAGTTTGTCTACTTGTCTAGATTCTATTGCAAAAATAAAGTTTCTCTATGATGTTTTGGGATGCATTCTGGCAAGAGGAAATGTGTGTGTTCTCTCATGGATAATAAGTTTGGGAGTGCTTGAAAAGGCTCTATTAAAATAAAGGCTTTTCTTTTTATAATTTTTATGAGAAGATGAGGAAAATCTGAAAGTTGCTTCTGAGTTGTTGAAAATTTAATATATTCTGAGTGACAATGAGTATTGTCAATATCAAAGATAATGAACAACTGGGAAGCTCCCAGGACTGCATAAAAGAGAACATTTCTAATAAACATTACACATTTATGCCTTGGGCTTGTAGGGGAGAAAAGTCCATCATTTGAGTTCTCACTGAAGACAGTAAAGTTGGTTCTGGTTCCCAGTTCATGTCTGGTTTCTGTTTAAATAACCTTTCAAATATACAAGCAATAGGAGTATATTTCTCTTAAATATTGTTCTTTTTTGTGATTCTAGTTCAGTGTACATGCAAAACCTACAGTTTTAATAGCTTAATAACCAAGCAGTAGGTTTATGTAGCCTTTCACTACTAATAAAATTTGAAGATTTAAGATTTTTATATTAGGAAGTTTGCCAGGGGTAGTCACTTTTTGTAGGGACAGAGTGACATAGCAGTTGGAAAATGTTTTTCATCAGAAGGCTTGTTTACATTTTAATATCCCACTCACCATGATCAAGTGCTCCAAATAAGTCAGGATTGGACATTAATCTGGCTACAGTACAGATACTGTGTAATACAAGAGGGAAAATTTAAATTATATTGTTCTGCATCATCTAATTACACAGCCAGCCCAGGTACCATACCAAACTTTATTGATAATAATTAATTTTGCAACTGATTTATGCTTATTTAGAGGGAAAGAATTTTCTGTTGTTTTGTTGGTTTTGCTAATCACTTATTGAATAAAATGTGAAACAAAATGGTGGGTATTAAGCAGTGAAATTAGTGCATTAGTTCAACCTATATAAAAGTCTAGTTGATATGATTTAGGAAGTCTTGTTATTTCTGTGGTGCCCCTTTTGCAAGCATGGGACAGCAATGTCTTGAAATAGCTTCAGAGTATTTTAGGTAAGTATGTTAGCATTGAAAACACATCATTTTGAAATCTTTTCCTTGAGCATTAGTAGTAGAAGGCTCTGCCAGGCTATAGCAGGCAGTAGAGCTGAATGCTTGGGCCTTTCCTGAGAGATGAGATGTTACCTTGTGACCTACCAAACCTATACCTAAAAACTTCTAAAGCGTTCTAAATGCCCTAAAAATGGTATTTTATGTCCTCCTGTCAAGTCTTCGAGTAGGAGATAGTGGTGGGGTTTTTTCATTTTCTAAATTAACTGATGAATATTTCATTTTCAGATGAGTTCTTCCCTTAGTGGATGTAGAAAACAACTGATCTTTTCCTTTAATATTAAATTTAACATTATTCTGAACTAGAAATAATTGCAAGGACATCTGCTAGTAAATAAAGACTTAAGTTACTGTCCAGCAAGTTAGCCAACAGCATTGGCTCCCATATCTTGAGAGATGTTTTCCCACCTTCTCCTTTAATCCAGAGAGATTTTGTAATTATCTTTTTCCAGATACAAGGAGAAATCAATCCCCTTGATTCTAATCCAGTAAACTGCCCTGATTTCCAGCAGCAACAGTGTGGCTAAAAACCCCTGGCAACTCTGCCTGGCTGGAATATTAGCCCTGGGGGCCTTCTCTGCACTGTTTTTGTTTCTGTTCAGTCTCCAGCATGGTGGCTAGAAAACAACTCTGTAGTGCTTTTAAGAGTGTTTTAATATTTGGGAGGATTCTGTCTGAGCATAGATTCCTCAGATCTGCAGGTGAGGAGCAGTGCCTTCATGGAAGGAAGGTGAAAGAGAAGGAAAGCACAGAATCTTGTATTAATCTGTGTTTTGAATGTACCAGGTTAAAATAGTGTGTAAACAAAATGGGCTGGGAGCAGGGAGCCACAACATTTACTGCTGTCACAGAAATGGTCTTAAACACAGAGAAAAGCAGCTGCCAGGAGAGGCTTATCCCAGTCAGAGGCTTATCCTAGTCCACAAAATTACCTGCCACTGCTCACTGTGTTCTAGATCATTTGTTACAAGAGAGTAATTTATGATTATTAACAACTACTGCTGTGTATTCTTATAAATCCAAGTCTTTCTCCTTTCCCTCCCCATCTTTTCCTTCCCTTTGCTTAAACCTAACCATAAATAGATTTGAGACAATTCTGTTTTGGACAGCCAAGAAAGTGAGGAACAAAAGGAGTAATTGAGTGTACCAGGTAGTGGCAGAAGAGCAGCACTAATTGCCAGATAATAAAAGAAAATGGTCAATTTTGTCAGGAAGCATTGTCAAGAAAGATAACTTGGAAGAAATTAACTGTCTGACCTGCTGGAATGTGTCTGTCAATGGCTCTTTAAATCATCAGGTCATGAAATGTGACAGCCATTTATCATTTTTATGAGGCTGCTGCCAAGCTTTCCCTTGGGAAGCTGGCTGGAATTAGTGTGATCTTTGACTGTCCTGTTAAAAAAAATGGCATGGGTCTGTTTTAATCTGATTGTAGTTCAACCAATCTGAAGGCAAATTTTCCAAGAGTATTTTACCTAACCTTCCAAGGTGTCCAGAGTATGCCTAGGAGCTTGATCCTTTATTTGTCAGAAAAGGAAGCTTCCAGAGACAGAAGAAATGTGCCATTCATTTGAAAAATTCCCCTTTTTTTGTGTATTACTGTCTTTCATACTTCTGTTATTGATCCCCTCCCCTCTTATAAGGGGGAAATCATGCAGCCATTCTGATGATGGCAGGCAAGAGAAAGAAAAGAGCTGCCTGTGTCTATGGTCCTGTTGAAAGACCTCTGAAAGTCTCTTTGCACTGCTCTCTGTTGCCATGTTTTGTTTTGTTAATTAATTCCAAATGTGAACTAATGTTAATATTGAGCTGTAGGATGTGTTGTAGGTGCTCAGGTGTTGTGATGTTGCTTTGAACAATTTGCACTTCTGGTTCTTCAGAGTCAGTAGGGAGAGAGGAGGATAATGAACCAGAGGCTGTTCATAAACAAGCTTTATAAAATAGCAGAAGCTTAATAAAAAGTTGATTTTCTCATTAAATTGGGGTTTAGGAGTAGTGCTACTAACTGAGTATCCCATTTCTGATAGTAAAATAAGAAAACCAACATGAAATAGAAGTTATTTTAGAGAATGGCTGTGCATCATGAACTAGAGAATCAGGTTCAAAAGTAGCCTATTTGCTTGTGCTTCATAAAATTCAGCTGATCTTGCAAAACAAATGCCTTCCTGGTGCAGAATGAGGATTGGTTTTGATGGCAGCAGTTTCTGGCATGTTCTTGAAAACCAGCAAAAGAAAAGTGCCACTGCTGGTTATTACCAATGCACAGGCTGTATATGAAATGTGAAACTGAAATTAGGGTTGCACACTTTTTATCTCATTTCCAGGTGACATTTGTCAGCTGTTTTAATGATATAGACTGCTTCCTGCATCATTACAATCTCTGCTCTGATTTTTAGAGGAGTTGGTGGTCTGTTTAAGAGAATGGGGAGGAAAAAAGTTAGTAATGTAAAGCTCTTTAGTACAGCTGTTTGAAAAATCATGCCTTTAAAATTATTGGCAACTATTCTTCACACTATGCAGGCTGTTACATAGAATTTATAATCAATACCATCTCTATTTTGTGTAACAAAATCTCCAGTCTATGTAACAAGTCTTCAGAATACGTGCAGAGAACTTGTGCACTTATTGTTGAAAATATATGGTCATTTTGTGCCTAATGTAGTTTATTTGTTCATGTGGAAGTCTAAACAGAAAGTGTTCCATTGGTATTTCTAAATGATAGAGCTTGTTATTATCAAGTAGAAACTTCTACCAACTCCTAATATGTGAATTGCATTAAATCATCTTTCTTTTCCTGCCTTTCCAGCATTAACAATAAACTCCAACAGCCAGAAGCAGCTGCAGGGGTGCTGGAATATGCCATGAAGCACTTTGGGGAGCTGGTGAGTCCTGCTGGATAATCTGCTTCTTCATGTCTCATGTTTTTATGGTTTCTGTAGTTAGTTTTTTGGTGGGTGGTGGTGTTTTCTCAGTCAATCACATTGAGGTTCTATCCCTGCTTCTAATATTTCATTGTTGATAAACAATGAGTGTAGGCCTTGCTACCTGCAGGGTTGTTCAATGGACATTTTGCAGCAGATGTTGGGTATAGAGAGGGCTGCAAGAACCTGATTTGAGGAGAATTTTGCAGCTGTAGTTGATACTAAATGCAGCTCTGAGCAACTAGCAACTTGACAACACAAGTCCTTTTATTTAGGATAAGCTGGGAAGGGAGGGAGGAAGTTCCTTTTTAAAGCTTGAAGGATTTGAGAAACTGCATCAACATCTTCCAGGTGTAGATTTAATGGAAGTTAACCTCTAGTCTCTCTCAAAAGTGTTCCACAGGTATTTAGAAAAGTAAGTTAACCAGTCCCTTACAATTTAGACTGCTCACCAAAATCAAATAACCTCATTATGTATATGTTCTGTGTCTTTCTCAGAATGATGTGCCTTTTATTATTTCTTCTCATTTTATGAGACATTTCATTTGTGTTCAAGGACCAAACCACCTATGCTCTCCTGACAGTTCTACTGGTAAAGAGATGATTTTGCAGTGGTAATTGTTGCAGTGTTTTAGGATGATTAGGAAAAGGAAGGCAGCTGTAGACCAGCCTCTTTAAGTGGTAACCACTAGAAAGTGGGAACCAGGTATAAGCACAAAATGGTGGAAATCCTCTAGTGTAGGATTATGTGTGATTTTGACCTAGACTGGAAAATAAGTCCTTTCTGGGAGAAGTGCAGATTTCAGAACATCTTTGCAGCTTCTTATAATTCCTTGGGTGGATTGAGCAAAGTTCTGCATTACCTAATTCTGACTTCACTCTTTAGCAGCAATACAGTCTAGCAATAAATGTAGTTCAAAGCACAGAGTTTTCCAGAATTGGCAGTGAAAAGAAATTAAGAGGAGCTGTGAGCTCTGCTTTCATGGACTTAATTGAAATATGACTTAGCTGAGAAGTTAAAGGGCTAAGTGGAAGGCCTGGCATGCAAAGCATGGTTTATAATGACCCTGCCCACAGATTTGGGAAAAGAATCTGCTCTGCAGCCTGTGTCAAGACTTGAGCTGCCAAGGGCTGAGCAGAAAAACACTGGCAGAGAAAAGCATGGAAATATATTAAGGCATTTTATTTCTTGAAAATGAGAAACAAAGTCTTGAAAGAAAGATTGAAGAAAAGTGTTTAGCTGATAAGGATCACTGCTTGGCTAACTTTTAATGGCTTTGTTACAAACCTTTGCCTTCCCTTGTGAAGGGTGATTGGGCATGTTACAGATTTACCCTTTTTCCTGTTCCACTCACTCTACCTCTCCAAAAAGAAAAGCACCAGCTGCTGAGCTGGTATTTCAGTGGCTCTGAGTAAGGGGGTGATGTTGGATTAATCCCTCTGGTAAACCTGAGTTCACTTCTGGCCAGGTGGAGCAATGCCAGGATTCCAGTTTTCACACTAGCTCAAGGTTCTTCTCTGTATCACAGACTTGTGTATCACACAAGTCCATGAGGATATTTAGAATGATAAAAGGGTGAAGTGACCAGCATAGACACAGAATTTTTTAGGAAAAGCTATGGTAGTCAATATAGAGTGATCAGTGTTAATCCTGCTGTTAATATTTACTTCTTTCTCCCTTCCCTTAGGAAATTCAAGCTACCTGGTATGAAAAGCTTCACGAGTGGGAAGATGCTCTGGTGGCCTATGACAAGAAGATGGACACAAACAAAGATGATCCTGAGCTGATGCTGGGACGGATGCGTTGCTTGGAAGCACTTGGTGAATGGTAAGAGGGGAATGCCTGAGGACTGAGGAAAATGCTGGCTCTGTTTTCTGGATGCTGTCATTCAGGTGCAAATTTTTTGCCTGAATTCCTATTTACTTTGAGTGTTGGTGTGGCATCTCACTTTGCCCATTGCAGTCAGAATTGGTAATAGCATCTCTAAGCCTTTTGGGACTGGCCATTTGGTGAGTTAAGGTCTCTCTGGAAGAGAATCTGCAGTTTTATAATCAGCTCAACCCCATTTATAACAGAAAAAGACATTGTAGATGGAGGAAACATTAACTGAGCAGGACTTGTCAGAAACAGTCATAAAACGAGCTCATTGTGACCCTTCTTTTTAAACTGATTAAAACACGAGGGATTTCTGTGTTTATTCAGTGCCTTGTAGAAGGATGAGGTTTTCCTTTTGAGTCTTTTTTCAGCATTTCTTAAGCCTTGTCTTTGTGAACATTTAATATTTCAAGTTTTGTGTCAAATGTCAGTTCTCAACACATAACTGATTCGAATCAGTGTTTGTGAGAGGGTGAGCTGCTGGTGACTTACAGCTTACTGCTTAACTGGGTGCTTCTGTTTTTTCTCTCTGTTCAATTCCAAGAAGATAATTGGAGAAGGCACCCTGCTCACTGTGGCGTGCAGTTCTACCCAGGGGCAGGTGTGGGTTCGTCCAGGTTCCGCCTTTCTACTTAACTTTGCATGTGACAAGCTGTCTCCTGATGGGTCCTGACGTGAACCCAGGGGATGGCACCACAGTAAGGAGATTCCTCTTCACTAAAGTCATTTTATTGCTAGAAACTAGAACTGTTTGAGAAATCTAATTCTGGCAGCATTTTCCTGCCCTTTTTGTTTCTAAACAAGGGTGAGACATGTAGGGTGTAGCTTTTCTGGTAGGGAAAATAGATCCTCTTACTGAGCATTCCTCAATCAGCTTTTATAAGAGTAGGCAGTTCTCACAAGGGATTTGAAGAATTTTTCCCTCCTGCAGGATGTGTATTTGTCTTAAGTGTCCTTTCTGAACTTCCTACTTATTCATGTGTCAGCAACAAATGTATGGAGCAACAGAAGGACACTTTCCTTCTGTTGGAGTGAGATGTTGTGGACCTGTTGATAGTCTGTAGTGACCAGAGCAATCAGTCTCTAAGTTACCTTGTGGAACTGAGTTCCAACTCTGTGCAGGTGTTTTTACAATTCAGAAGTGCTTTTGCAAAGTGCTATCTGCTGCCTTGCAGCTGACTCTAGAGATGCCATCCTGAGGCTGACCATTCCATAGTTTGGCTGCTGATACTCTTCAGTAACATTCAGCTTGACTGACTGTGCTGCTGGAGTCAGATTGACAGGAGAAGGGAGATAAATTCTATTGTGTAGCATCACTATTTCAGTACTCTGCTGTGATATTTTGAGAGTACAAAGCATTCTTAACCATTTATCTCCTCATGTAGTTATTCCTGTAGGAGCCACAGTGCTTTTTCAGCATCTATGAGGTCCTGATTTACTGCTGTTGCTAGGTTTGGCTTGGTTTTTCATCTGCTTTGTGGGTTTTTTTTTTCCTCCTGGGCCATTAAGCTGTCAGAATGACTATCTTGCCTGTGGCAGCCCATTGGTTCTGTTTGACTAACTCATCTTCCTTTTTGGGAGGGGAAGAGGATGACACTAGGGAAGGCAAGTTGTTCTCCCTCACAGCTGGCAGCTGTTTCTCTGCTACAGAGTATCCAGCATGAGAAATCCTGGAACTGCAACACCCAGGGTAATTGGTTTGATTAGTGCAGCATTCACAGTTGATTTGAAAGAAATAATATAAAAAATCCTGATGCTTCCTCTCCACTGGAGATGAAAGATTCAGATGCCCTCTGAGATCTTGCCTTGACAAGTCTTTATCTGAGGTTACAGCAACATTCATTCTGCAGTCTTTGTCTTCAGACTTGATTTGTTAATTCAAAATGTTTGCTAGTAGCAGCCATGCCCAAGCTATCCAGATCATATGTTTCTTCTACTGACACTTGCAAAAATTTTAAGCATCCTTTTTTTAGTTTGTTTTCTTGAGAATTTTTTTTTCTGTATTTACAGACTGCCATTATCAGTCCAGTTTTAAAGTATGCATTAACAGCCTCTGAGGGTCAAATGCAAACTTCTTTTTGGATATGTTTTTTCAAAACATAATATGCCTTAAAATTATTTTCTGATATTTGTCATCAGACTAGCATGGTTGAGTTGGCCAGAGGAGTCAAATCCTGTTCTCCACTCAAAGAAAGATGATAAAAAGAATGATGGGGCTGGTTGTTGTCTTATCAGTGGGAAGTGGTTGTTTAATGGGGCAGAATTCTTGGAAGAAGCTTTTTGCTGATAAGAAATTGTGGATTCTTCTTAGGGGGCAGCTCCACCAGCAATGCTGTGAAAAGTGGACCCAGGTGAATGATGAAACTCAAGCTAAGATGGCCAGGATGGCTGCTGCTGCTGCTTGGGGTCTAGGTAATGTATCCTCCGTGCTGGTGTGCTCATGAGTGCAAGCACAGACAGTTTTAACTTCAGAACCACAGAGTACAGGAAACAACAATATCAAGGAACCACATTATTTACATTGGGAAATGAAATAAGTGTCATTCTGTATTGAAGTCCTTTGGAAAACCTTCATTTACATCAAGTTTCCCAGCATGGTCTCCAGTAACAGAGTGGTCTGAGCATGATCAGTTGCTTAAATGCTCACTTTTGCTTGGCTTTACACTGAACAGAGCTCAGACTGGAAATGACATAAAAAGACTTTCTCAGATTTGTGGCAGACTCTTATTTACAATGAGAACAGTATCTGTTGAGCATTTTAGAGGTTGTGTTAAGAGTAGACAGTCTTAAATGAAATAGATCTGTAGTGGTCCAAATGTTCATTTGTGTTGTTAGCAAGATATTTACTAGAGAAAGTGATGAATCACTTGCTCTCTGCCAGCCTTTGCTGAGAAAAATTCATCTTTTCCTTTGTAGGGCACTAATTGATTCAAATGTTCTGGAAGTGGCAGAATTTAATTGTTCCATCATTAAGAATTAAAGAATCTTTTTTCACAAGGATAGCAATTTGTCTAGAAGAAAAATACCTATATTTTTCTTGTCTGGCTATGCATATGTTTATGTATATAATAGTGTCCCTACCAAAGACAAATGAGAGCTGACTTAAATGCAGAAGTACCAGACAACACCCAGGCCTAGGAACTGATGTCTAAGCACCATATCATAGTTCTGTTGTGTTCCCACACTGCAGAGAAGGCTGTTGTGTTACTGAGGATTATCTGTGTCCCTGCAGGTCAGTGGGACAGCATGGAAGAATATACCTGCATGATCCCCAGGGACACCCATGATGGTGCTTTCTACAGGGCTGTACTGGCACTGCATCAAGACCTTTTCTCACTGGCTCAGCAAGTAATTATCTTCCTTGTTGGTATTCCAAAACCTGGATTAAGATGTTCTAGGCTACAGAGTTCCATGGAAAACCAGGCTGTAGTAAAGCAGTTGGCTATAACCTATGAAATGCCCAATAATGGTTTTTTCCATGGATATATTAGGACCTGGATGATAGATTTGATCTTGTATTTCCAGAAATGTAGCAGTGAATGTATTGACAACAGTGATCCAGTGCTGTAGAATATAAGAATGCCTTAGTAATTTCTTAATTTCTTGGCTTCTTTTACTTCTGTGCCTCTTCTCTAGACAGGCAGGGCACAAGGATTATCTCAGCAGAGCTTCTGTCCTACAAGGCCTTGATTGTAAATTGCTGGGAATGCCTGAGACACCTGTAAGATTCCTAATGGATTTTTGTGTGCTTCTGTCTCTTGCATCTTTTTCAGTGAAGTGCTTACATATATATCATGTACAATAATCTTAATTTTTCTGGTAGCACTGATAAATCTCAAATCTTAGATTTAGATACCAAGGCAAGGAATGAGTTTACTAAACAGAGCTGTATTTGTAATGCTTGTTTGTCACAGAGGAGATTTGCAGAGTGACTCTGTAGATGTGAAACGTGTTGTTTACTTTCCAAGGAAGCTGAAGTCCCATTTCTCAGAATTCTGTGCTGGCTTGCCAGCTTAGATAAAGGAGTAATTCAATCTGTGCTGTCAAAACCCGTACATAGATTTTTGGATGATGTGCACAGTAAAATTAACCAGGCATTCAAAAGGGTAGAGTTTGTGATTAACCTTTAACATTTTGAACAGGAAAAGCTATAGGTGAGAGATTATATAATGACTAGAACTAGAGCAGGATTTATTTCATGCTTGAAGAGCCTGTCTTAGTTTGAGGATGAGAAATGGAATTTGCTGTCCTGTAAAATTCATAAAATCCTGTTGGGTTATGTAAAACAGTGAAAGTTATTTTCTTTCATTGTGTGCTATCAAGAGACATTTCTTGAGGCTTTTTTTTTGTAACCAACTCTCTTGCACTAAAATGTGAACCTTTCCTCTACAAATGTTGTTAATTATGATCTCTACAATCACAGTAGGATTAGAAATACTGCAAATCTTGATTTTTCTAGGAAGACAAACTTCAAACTGTGCAGGTGATGAATGAAGCTCCCTTGACTTCCCTTATATATGCCCTGGACACTGTTTTCCTGTCAAATCTTTCTATTTATAAGATCCTTTCCCAGTTCTTGTTGGAGAGTGAGAACAGCACCAGCTTTGTTCATGAGATGGAACAGTTGAACAGCAGCTTCATCAGCTGACTCTAGATAAAGCACACTACCTTTGCCCCAATATCTTGTTCTATTTCAGTGCATTGACAAAGCCAGAGACCTGCTGGATGCTGAGCTGACTGCCATGGCAGGAGAGAGTTACAGTCGAGCCTACGGGGTAAGTGTAGCTCTCAGCCTTCATTCCCTCCATTGACTGTCTCTAAAAGTTGCATAAAACTTCAGAGTAGTGCTTGTCTCAAACTTAAGACCTCTATAGGCCCACAAGCTAAATGGCTTTTGTCAGATAAGAAATACAACTTTGCAGGAACAGCTTTGGGACACACTAAAAGTGAAGTGAGGTCCACCCTCTCAAAAGAAATAAGAATTGACATTTAGGGGGTTTGAACCAGCAGGTCATCTAGGTACCAGTATATAGCAGTTGGTCCTTTATCTGTTGGGCAGCCTATGTACTTTAAATTTTGATGCCAAAATACTGTTCCTTAATTATAGATTTGTTCTGTAGTGATTGGGATGGAATGTGATTTTTTTCCTTCAGGCTATGGTATCCTGCCAGATGCTGTCAGAGCTGGAAGAGGTTATCCAGTATAAACTTGTACCAGAGCGCCGTGAGATCATCCGCCAGATCTGGTGGGAAAGACTGCAGGTACATCCATATAAAGGTCAAAGATGGAGATACTGGTGGGCTGGCATGAACAGCTTCCTTTTGAGTCAGTGTGGTGGCTCAGCAAGTCTTTCCATGTCTATTTCCATCCCAGGAGCATCCATGCTCACATGGCTGTGTGCTCCAGCTCCTTTGTGCTTGCCCTGGTTGCCTGGGGTTTCAGTTTGGGCTTCTCTTTTTTCCAGGTTAATGTTCCTGAGGTCTCTGCTCATATGACACTTTACAAGGGTGAGCTAAGCCTTGAAATAGATGTGTACAGAAGAGTACTAGTAACATCCCCAAGGCTGCTTATCTCAAAATTGGATGTGGGAATACTGGTTTAGATCAGGCTAGTTTGAACATTTTACCTGGCTGGCTGCATTTTAAGAAGTGAATTCTCTCAAAGTGTTGGAAAACTGGTCAGAGAGTTCACGTGCTTGTAAAATAAAAGATTGTCCTGTTCCTTTTGGACCTCTTACAAGAACATTTTCAGCTGATTGGTAACATTTAGGGACTTTACTTAGTGGTGGAATTGGCACTGCTAGGTGTATGGTTGGACTTGATAATGGTGAAGGTCTTTTCCAATTAAATGATGCTATGATTAACCTTGACCTTTCAGAAGAGACCTTTAGCAATGTTGATTTTCCTGTACTGAAAGAGAAGTTTGTGCCTTTCTTACTCTAAACATCAAAAATCTAAAGTACCTCTGAAAATTTAAATCAGACAAATACTTGACACTATTTCCTTACAAGAGGCATCCCTACAGTGGAAGTGAATATCCTCAGATGCAGTAGTACATACAGTAACACTGTTTAAAGAGGTGGGTGATTCCTGCAAGAAAAGGGGGTAAAAGAAAAGGCATAACTAAGATGAAATGCTGCCTGAAGGAAGAACTTTTCCCTGTGCAGCATTCTTCACTGGCAGTCCTACAATCTGCCACCTTATGAAAGCCTGCTGTATGTTTTTTAGCTGTTTGGGAAACTGTGACAAAGCTTTTAGTCTCCCATCTGCATTCCTGTCTGGAAAAGCTCAGGACCATTCCACTGGGGTAAAGAAACTGAAGTGGCAGGAAGTGTAATGTCTGAATACAGCTTTTCATAGTCCTGAAAGCAGTACATACAGTTCTTGAATGTTTTATAGGTGGTTTTTTAATAGTTTTTAAATGCCTTTTGGAAGAAGTTTATTTGAGTGTCAGGGAACAGGCTTTGCCTAACTTCCCATTCCTCAGCTTGGGAGAAAAGAAAAAGGGAAAGAATAATATTGGTGCTAAAGTCCTTGCTGCCATTGGAAAATCTTTTCTTTGTCTCAAAATCAAGTAGTCTCTGGCTGAATAGAAACTCTGGAGCATCACTGTTCCCCTGTACTTGTCCACCCTACCCAGCACCATGGATTTAGTTGTTATGGTTCCTTCCACATTTCTACTCCTCTATAGTGTCCTTAAGTCTTTGAAATACAGACTCATCCTCCCCTGACAGTGTTGTGCCTGTCTCATCAGACAGACAAGCACCAGACAATGCTTGCAGAAGCAGCACAACAGTTGGAGCTGCAGTTTCTGGCAGAAAACCAGTTTAGAGGTGCCAGCCTCCAAAAGCAGTACATGCAAGGAAAAGAAAAAGGGCAATAACAAAAATAACTTTGCAACTATTTGGTTTTATACCATCTCCATGTTGAGATTTAATCCACATTTAATAGGTGGAGAAGGCACTTTGGAAGGCACTTTGACTCACTTTGGAATTACATGAAGAGTTTTTCTGATTCTTGGATGCATTTCAGCTTTAGGAGCTTTTCTCCTCTTTCCATTCGAGGATGTTGTTAGACTGCAAGCACTGAGTTGCCTGCAGATTCTGAGAGTCAGGGACTGAACCTTCTTCAAGCACTGCAGTGTTAAAGAAATGGTTCCCAATGTCAGTCTGCTGTGAATTATGGGCACAGAAGCCTATCTTGATGGAAGTCCCTTCAGATTCTGAATCAAGGCTCTGTACAGTACACTGGAGACCAAACATTAACAAGTTTTCCCTTCTTTTTCTTCTCAGGGCTGTCAGCGAATCGTGGAAGACTGGCAAAGAATATTGATGGTCCGATCTCTTGTTGTGAATCCTCATGAGGACATGAGAACTTGGCTCAAGTATGCCAGCTTGTGTGGCAAGAGTGGGAGGCTGGTGAGCATTGTCTGACTCTGTCCTCTTCAGCAGCTTTTCAGATGATTGGCTTTGCTGTGCTGCTTCAGCCTTGAGCAGTCCTAAATGCTTTCATGGCCCAAGAGGGATGGGCTCTCCTCTGAGGAAAAAACTAGTCAGAAATTGTTGAAATGCTAAAACTGTAACCAGCATAGAGTTCATGCTTGTAGCCAAGGTTATTTTTGTGGGGCTGATATTATACCTGAGAGCCTCTGGGCCAATTTTTTATTGCATGCTATAACTGGAGGTTTTTATGCAACACTGGAGATTATTAATAATGGCTCTGCTAGAGCAGAGAGTCGAATCTAGAATGTGATGTTGCTGCTAAACATTACAGCCCTGTTTTAACATTCACCACAAAATTTATCACCAAATACTTGAAACAGAGACTTTACACTTTCTGCTGGCTTCTGAAATGAGAATCTAATGCTCTGATCCAAAGGAAAACATATGGTTTATTATGTGGTATTCTTTTGAGTCCAGGGAGTCTGCTGTGTCTGTGTTATATCTGGAGGGTCAGATGTGCTTTGTTAGCATGGGGCAATTCTGAAGCAATATGAGCTGGAGGTAACAATGAGCTTGTTTTTAACCTGCCTTTTGTCTTTGCCACTTGTCCAGGCTTTGGCCCATAAGACCCTTGTCCTGCTCTTGGGAGTAGATCCATCTCGACAGCTGGATCACCCACTGCCAACAGTCCATCCCCAAGTGACTTACGCGTACATGAAGCACATGTGGAAGAGCGCCCGGAAGGTACAGGAGAACACAGTGCTCTGTTTCACTGCTCAGGTTTTGTGCAATGCCATACATGTTAGCTCTTCGTGTTCCCCACACAACAAAGGCAAGGCTGGAGGTTTTACTTTTGCTCCCCTAAAAGAGAGTTATTAATTCCTTTCCTTATTGTTATTCAGATCGTAAGCTTTTTATTTCCTTTAAAACTCTGTAAGGCAGAGAAGACATGGCCCTAATTTTATTTCATGTATGGATGGATTATTTTTGCTGAATCAGTAGCTGATACCCAAAAGATGCAGCCAAGATTAATGGTCAGTAGTAGCTCTTTGGTCCTATGGAGGTTTGCTACTTACTTTTCATGCAGTGTTCTGATTGCTGAGTCTCTACACTGTACCTAGGGTCAGGGTTACATACTGAAAGAGGGAAGTAAATGGGGGTTTATTACCAGTTTTAGAAATGTCCTGAACAGCTTGCATTTAGTTGCTGAGCAGAATTGATTTTTACTAAAGAGATCATCAGGAATTCCTAACTGAAAGACAGCTGAAAAGTTCATGGAGTTTTGTCATGGGAACAATTTGGCTCCAGAGAGCTCAGGGTGAATGTTTTTGACATTGCAACACAGGGAGAATTTACATAAATCCAATAAGCTCCAGACTGGATAAGTTATCTTTTTTTTTAATATACATTAAAGCCTCCATTTATCCTCATATTCTGCCACATCTTTTTTATTTTTCCTCCCTTTGGGATTGCCAGCACTGGAGCAGAGCCATTGCTGTGGGAACATTGCCACGATTAACTATTCTTTATTTGAATTAAAAAGGCAGAAGGAGCTGTTATTGAGGCCTTCTTCTGTTGGCTCTGTAAAACAGTGAAATTGCCTCTTACTAGCTTCAGTAAATGACCCCAGAAGTGTGTGGGGTCTCTGTGAGGGAAATTGTATTTTGCAGTGTTTGACTTGTGGTCAAGACACAGATGGACATGGTGCAGGACAAAATTAACAGTTGCAAGAATAAGTGAAGCCCATGAAGATGGGGGAAAACTGATGCCAAAATAGATAAATAATACATAGTTACAGCTGGTGATGTGTGTAGTTTTACATAACTGTGTGTTCACTTGGTTTGGTGTCCTAAATAATAAGCTGCTAATGTGGGCTGGTAAGGTGGGAAATGACCATTTTTTCTAGCTCAGCAGTTCAAGGTTCCTTTGTTGACCTAAAATGTTTTCAGTACTGCTGTTTTGGCACTTGTCAAATCCAGCAGGAAAGAAGCTGGCATCTAGAAGGAAACCAGCCACACAGCACTTGCAGAGCTCCACCACAGTCTTTTCTTAAACAACAGATAAAAGTGGATAAGTAAACCCTATTACATTTCTTCTAACAAGGAACCTTTGCCAGCAGCTGCATTCTGAGCCATATCCCATAGGAAGGATACACACAAATTTAGGAATTCAGTTGTTTTTGAAGACTTATTGCTTTCAGTCTTAAGTGCTCCATCTGTCAGTTTATGGTGATCAGTTCTCAGTATTAGTGGAAACTGAAGAGCAGATTGTTGGGTGTGTCTCTAGATATGAGAGGGGCACATAATAAAAAGATAACATTCTGTGTTGATACTGTTAGGCAATACATTTTGTCTATTTTTAATAGATGTCTAGCACAACTAATTGTAAGATTATTATTTACCCCTCCACCCCATCCCCTTCTGTCTAGGTTACCAGTTATGAAGTGTACCACATTAATGTTATGAGTATGAACCTTTCTTTTATTTTCCCCTTTTTCCTCACCACTGAGGTGTGCATGCTGACTTTTGAACAGGATAGATGAGGCATTTGAGCTCAGGTGGCTCTTGTCTCTAACATAGCTCATTTCTATATACACAGAAGTAAATTAGACTTCAAACAGCATATTCTGCAGTTCCTAACCTGAAATGACCTTGCAGATTGCAGGAGCTTTATTCTTAATTCTTTCCAGTGAAGCGTGCATACTTTTTTCTTAAATTTTTATTCTTGGGTTTTCCTACTCCAGAATTCTTTCCAAGGAATTTGAAAAAGATTTTTTTTCACTCAGAATTTGGTAGTGCAAGTTGCTTTAGCATTACTGCCCTGTGTAATAATCTGGCAAAGGAGTAATGCACATTTGTACTTCTTCAATAAGAAGGAGAAACCTAGACTTTAATTTGTTGAAACAAGTCAATGTCCCATGGTGTGTACTTCAAGCCTTGCTAAAACTGAAAGGTAGGAGAGAAGAGGAAGTTGCAAGTTTTCCTTCAGGCATTATTTTCTCAAATAGTTTATTTGTTGTTGTTGGGGTTTTGGGGTTTTTTTGTTCGGTTTGGTTTGATTTTGTTTTGGTTTTTTGTCTGGCCTTAGCATATTATAGGTAGGCTCTGTGATCCTGTCTGTTCAGTATTGTCCTGGTCAGCTATGGTTTGTAGGCTAGAAACATTTGATTGTTGCAATTGCCAGACTTAGTTCATGCTCAGGTGCAAACTGGATATCTCTGTGTCTCACACTGTGTGGGCAGTAACAGGACATTCTCTGCTGCTGAAGTTTTCTCCCTGTACAGGTGACCTTGTTGCTTTGGCAGGGTTGAGTTCTTGCACATCAGAGCATGGTGTTAACTTGTGTTGTGGTCAGTCATGCCTTTGGCTCTTTGTATGACAGTGAAGATGTGCCTGGCAGCAGGAGGATGCAGTTACTTGTTCCTCAGTTTAGCAGCTTCAAAGACAACAATAATCTCTACCTTCTTCATTTATTTGGACATATTTAAAGTGTAACGTGATTTTAGAGGGATTCAGTGACTGAAAAGCTTTGAAAGAAAACCATATATGTTTATTTCTTTAAAAATAATTTCTAATCTTGTATTGTCTTTCTCCCTTGAGAAGTTAAGCCCTGTGGTGCTCACTGCCTCCATCATCCCTTTGCAGATCGATGCATTCCAGCACATGCAGCACTTTGTGCAGACCATGCAGCAGCAGGCGCAGCACGCCATCGCCACCGAGGACCAGCAGCACAAACAGGAGCTCCATAAGCTCATGGCACGGTCAGCACAAGCTCCTGGGGCACCCTTTAGCTCTAGACTGAAACTGAAGGCTTTCCTGAGGTGCAGGGTGACACATTTCAGACAAAGCTCATGCTTGGATTAAAAGAACAGGATTTCATTTAGCTGCTTTGGTATTACATTCTTATCTATCATGTAACATTCACTAAATGTTCCTGGGACACATCAGCCTAAACAAGCTTGTATTTGTTGCTGGTGCCTGGTTGTATTTTTCCAGCACTGTGGCTCACTGGCAGAAGGCAGAGAGCTCAGCATGTCTGTTTCTTTGCTTTTCAGGAGATTCAGTCACTAGGAAAAGAAACACTTCCCACACTCCTGGCACATCTGTATTAAGTACACAGGCTGCCAAGCACAACAGCAAGGCTTTGGGCAGTAGGTGCCCAGCATGTGATGGTCTCTTATAATACTGTTGCATTAAAAACCCTTTCTCCATTTTTCTCTGTGGATCTGTAGGTGCCAGATCTGGGTTTTTTTCAGTTTAAATTAAAAATTGCATAGTGCTTTCTATTAAAGGTTTGATTTTTTTGAAGGGAGGTATGCACTACATTTGCTTTTATGAGGATGGGAACCCTTGGTAACACCATTGTCTTATTTTTTTTAGTGACTATAATGGAAAACAAATTAATAATGATTTGCATATAATATTTGTCTTGCACAATGCTTTCTGGAAAACTCAGAATACAGAAAGGACAGCCACATAGCTGTGGCATTTAAAGCCTGACAACCCCACCCTACTGCAGTAAAAATATGTTGTTTTTCCTTTCCTCTAGGAGGGAGTGACTTAATGGGGTTCTGGCTGGGGGAAGAACAGTTCCTCTGTGTTTCCATTGTCTGTCAGGGTTCTCCCCAGAGGGCTCATTCACATGGGGTTCAGTACAGCTCACCATGTATATATATATATATATATATGTGTGCACATGTATGAATTTTATCAGCACAGACTGATGAAGTCCTTTGATGTTGCAGTTACCTACTTCTTACATTTATTTTATAACTCATATAGATGAGGAAAAGAGTTTGATCCCCACATTTCCTCTTAAATTAAACCTTCAACTAGTTAGTTCCACACTACAAGCAAGATGGAGGTATTTTGAATTATGCATCCAGACTGCAGGAGAGGCTTCCTGACTGGATTCATCACATGGAATGTCTTTTAGACTCCAGATAGCAAGTTCACCTTTTAATCCAGAGGTTTTGTTTTCATTTTAGGTTTTGAATCAATAATACCTTTATTTAACTAGGTGTTTCCTGAAACTGGGTGAGTGGCAGCTGAACCTGCAAGGCATCAATGAGAGCACCATCCCCAAAGTCCTGCAATACTACAGTGCTGCAACGGAGCATGATCGCAACTGGTACAAGGTCATTACACAGAAGTTCCCAGATAAATTTTATCAAGTCCAATACTACAGGAAAGGAAATTTTTCATTGGAAGATCTCCTGTAACTGTCTGCCTTGTTACTGTCAGTAGGATTAAAGAAACCAAAACAGAAGCGAAAAACAGAGAAAGTGGCCCAAGGCAGCCATGAGATTCTTGTTTAGAATTTTATCTGGTTGGTAAAATTAGGCCACAGTTCAGTTTCTCATCTTGCTTTTGGGACTCTCTCCTGTTGTCAGTTAGCAATGAAGGAGAAAGAAAATGGAAAAATTTAACTCATTCTCAGTCAGTATACTTGAACAAGGAAAGCAGCCCTGTTGCTAATTCTCCAAAGAGCCTTTGATTTCAGGGTTGTGATATTTCAATTAATATTTAATGCCATATCTTCTCTGGGGCAGCCATCTCCTGTATTTTTTCCTATTACACATCCCAAAGTCATAACATACTAATTTTCATTTTAGCCTTTGAAAAATGAAGGTATATGCAAATATAATTTAATTTTTGGTACAGAGCTCATTTGCTTTAATATTCAAAAGGGAGTTCCAGGCCAAGAATTCAACGTGATATTATTTAAGATAATAAGACAGTTCAAATTACAAGCAATTAGAGAAATCAAAGCATTGACAACAGTCTGCAGGGTATTACTTACTGCTGTTGTTTGCAGACACAGAAAGGTGGGATTATATCTAACTATTAGAAAGTGCCTGTTACAGAAAGGACTCATCTTCCTTCTAACTTTTGTTCTTTCCTGTTGGCAGGCCTGGCATGCCTGGGCAGTGATGAACTTTGAAGCAGTGCTTCACTATAAACACCAAAACCAGGCCAGAGATGAGAAGAAGAAACTCCGTCACGCGAGCGGAGCCAGCATCACCAGCGCTAACACCGAGGGCAGCAACAGCGAGAGCGATGCAGAGAGCACTGAGAACAGCCCCATCCCATCCCCAGTGCAGAAAAAAGTCACTGAGGTACCCTCTTTCCTCCCTCTTCATGTTGTGAGATTGGTACTTACTGCTTAGACACAGAAAAATGTTATGGGCTAAATTAATGCAAATGATTATTAGCTGTGAGCTAAAGTGGAGACTGAAGTGGCTGTCATAGGTGATACAGGGCATTAACAAATTCTGCTCTTTAGGCCTTTCATGGAAGACTCTGAGGAATCTCTTTAATTTACCAGGTATAGTAAGGTGGTGGTTTTTAGGCTGCTTTGTTGTCCATAGCTTTGTAAACAAGCTGAAACCACTTCACAGCATTTTCCCTGCCAGGCTGAAAGACCTTTGTGTAGTCAAGCAAAACTTAAAATTCTAGGAGTAACATATCCTGTGAAGAGTAGGAGCAGAAGTCATTTCCAATGGGGATTAGGTCTACATTTCCACATATTTCTTCCTCTTTCCCCTTGAGTTTAGGATTCATGTGGGCTGATGTGTTTGCATAGAACTAATGCAGCAATTTTCATTCCAAAAGGATTTATCCAAGACCCTCTTGATGTACACAGTCCCTGCTGTCCAAGGTTTCTTCCGATCCATTTCTCTGTCTCGAGGAAACAACCTACAAGACACTCTAAGGTACATAATAAAGCACATAGTAAATGAAATCCAGGTGATAAGAGCATATGGTTTCAGATTAGGTAGAGCACATTTCTGCTCTTTTTTGTTATGGTTGAATTAAGTGAATGCTTCAGTCCAGGCTAATTTTTGTTAGATGGTTTATCCCTGCTATCTGAGGGTTCTGGGAAGAAAAGTTGCTTGCAAATTGGTTTTTTTCTGTTTGTTTGTTTGTTTGGGGTTTTTGTGATGGGGTTTTGTTGGTTGGTAGTTTTTGTTTCATTTTGGTTGTGTGTTGGTTCATTTGTTCCTAGAAAAAGTATTTCTCTTTTTCAGAGTCCTTACTCTGTGGTTTGACTATGGTCATTGGCCTGATGTGAATGAAGCTTTGGTAGAAGGAGTCAAGGCAATCCAAATAGACACTTGGCTGCAGGTAAATAATACAAAGGGAAATCCCAGTTCTAGGGGTAGTTTGGGATTTGTTGCATGATATCCATTATGATCTCTTGCTAAACAGTCCTCTGTAGGTGAGTGCTGAAAGCAATGTGCAGAACAGTCTGTAACAGATTCAACAAGCATCTTGAACAGAAAAATGAGAAATGTTTCTGTATTTTTATGCAATATAGGGCATATTAATGAGAAAGAATGAAAATTCTTGAATTAAAGATGACATACATTCAGTGGTGATCAAGCATAAAACAACACTGTCCTGCTCTGATGTAGTTCACAATGTGTTTCAGGATTGCCTTGTAGAATGATTCTTGTAATTAAGTTTAAAAAATACTTTATTTCCCATTTAAGCATTATACTTCAAGATGCATCTTTCCATAGTAGGATCCTGTAAGAGTTTTGCACAGAACACTTGTGATCTCATTGTGCTGTTGTACATTTCAGTTTGGAACCCTGTGTTACCCTCTGACCAACTCAAAAATGACTGATGGGCTTCCCTGTCTCCTTGAGAGGCTGTGAGGCCTCTAGGAGAGGGCAGAGCAGCTGGTGCACTGAACTTATGAGATGACAGGAGAGTTTCTTTTCCTTTTCCTTAGGTAATCCCTCAGCTCATTGCCAGAATTGACACCCCTCGACCTCTGGTAGGGCGTCTCATCCATCAGCTGCTCACAGACATTGGTCGGTACCACCCCCAGGTAAGCATCTGCTTAGAGCAGAAATTTTTACAGGTGTCAGATGCCTGCACAGGAAGTCACAGCAAGTGATGACAGTGAGGATGGGGACAGTTTCTGTTGCTGCTGCTGCTTTCACCTCAGCACTGTTCACATAAAAATGGGAAAGAGGTGAATGAGCCATGCAGCCTGGGAAGGACTCTGTCTAATGTAATTTAATGCCTGCTGGGTAGTGCAGATCACCTTAAATGTCTTTTTGTGACTACTAAGAACCTACCTCACAGGTTTTATCTGAATTTCTTTCCACAGGTTTTATCTGAATTTCTTTCCACAGGTTTTATCTGAATTTCTTTCCACAGTGTGGAATATCACAAATTCTTAAAACCTGTTTTTGTTCTTCCAGTTTGAAAGAGGCTCTCAATGTCATTGTGCTATTCAGTGAACTAAAGTCTTGACAGCCCTTTTGGGTCAGAAAACTTTCAGTAGTAAATTCCTCTCAACACTTTCCAGAAGAGAACTTGCTTCCTTCTGTTTATCCCTAAGGCTGCTATTCATTAATGCTTTGCTAATTATTTAAATTTACATAGCTTCTCTGTGGGGCTCTAAAATATTACTGGTTACTGTCCCTTGCAGGCTTTAATCTATCCTTTGACTGTGGCTTCTAAATCTACAACCACTGCTCGGCACAATGCTGCAAATAAGATCTTGAAAAACATGTGTGAGCACAGCAACACTCTGGTGCAGCAGGCAATGATGGTGAGTGCTCAGTGCAGCATAAAGTGTGTTATGTTGGATAGATGTCAGTTATAATAAGACAAAAAGACTATTCATTGTTGATTCTGTTCAGGTACAATTAATTTTGGGTATTTGCAACTGGTAGAAGTTGCAGTATTACTGTAATTTCCAGAGAATGCTCTCATTCTAAAATAATTCACACACTGAGTTTTTGTGTTTCCTTATGAATAAATTTAGAGAAGAAATACAGGAAAAACCTTTGTTCCATAAGAGGTGGTTTTGCTTAGTGGAAAGTAGAAATAAAACTTACTGAGCTTAGCATGGAAAGAATAATGCAATTAATTTGATACCGATTTTTATGAATAAAAGAAAAATAATGCTTTCAGGCCAAGCATGAAAATGAAATGTAGAAAATTTCAAAGGCAACAAATAAGGTGAGAAAAGCCTGGTCAGCTTCTTAGAGAAAAAAAATGTGCTGTCATTGTGATAGTTCTTGTGGCTCCCTCTGGCTGCCAGGAACTAATATTTCATAATATCAGAGAAGAAGGGAGTTTTGCAGTTTTGAATCAGGACACAGTGCCAGGGATTTCTCTAGGCATTCAATCTTTTTTTTTCTGTCCTAAAACAGGTGAGTGAAGAGCTAATTCGTGTGGCCATCCTATGGCATGAGATGTGGCATGAAGGGTTGGAAGAAGCATCTCGTCTGTATTTTGGAGAAAGAAATGTAAAGGGAATGTTTGAGGTGCTGGAACCACTTCATGCAATGATGGAGCGAGGGCCTCAGACTTTAAAGGAGACATCCTTCAATCAGGTACCAGCTGTTCTTCAGGACAGCCATCTGCCCCAGATGTGTTACAAGAACCTTTGCCATTTAACACAAAAAGTGAATCTCATGGGACTCATGTTATTTCACTATTTCATTATTGACATTTATCTTCAGATCTGTGTCACTATTGGTGACTGTAAGAGGCCATGGTAGTCCAAATTGCCCTGGAGTCTTATATTGGCAGGATGTCTGATAGGGACTGGAAAACTGCTCTGCAGTTAATTATTCTGCTTTGTTCACAGTAAGCACTAGCACAGATAACAGAGAATTAACAGAGCTTGAAAGCCTACTGTTAAAGGGTGATTCTAAGCATTCAGTTGCCTCCTATAATGAAGTCTATAAGTGAGCAATGTTGTTTGATAAATTCAATGCAAATCTTGGATCTAGGAATTTCTGGATCTTTAATTCTCATTTACTATAAAAATGTGAGATAAGTATTTGTAGTGCAATTTGAAAAGAGACTCTGATGCTCTTTGTAGGTGTTAAGTGATCTCCACCTGTTACACTGCGGTCTGTTGAAATTCTTTTTTCTGTTGTTTTAATCCCTAGGCCTATGGCAGAGATCTCATGGAAGCTCAAGAGTGGTGCAGGAAGTATATGAAATCAGGAAATGTCAAAGACCTAACTCAGGCTTGGGATCTCTACTATCACGTGTTCCGACGTATCTCAAAGCAGCTGCCACAGGTGAGGGGAGAGATTCAGATCTTTTGTCAATACCAACCTTGGCTTTATGTTTTCTGGTTATTCAAAACATACTAATTCAGTATTCTGGAAATAACTGCATAGGGTTTGCTGCAAATTTGGTGTTTATGCAGCACTTCCTGCAAGTACCTGAGGTATTGGTCACTGCCTGAACTGTTTTAGGTCCCTTGACAGCATGAACTCTTCAGATGCTTCTATGAGACTGAACTGAAATCCTAAGGTCTTATATTTCTTTTGGTTTGGTAGCTCACTTCTTTGGAACTACAGTATGTGTCACCAAAACTCTTAATGTGCCGGGATCTGGAACTGGCAGTGCCAGGAACGTACGACCCCAACCAGCCCATCATCCGCATTCAGTCCATCGCACCCTCGCTGCAGGTCATCACCTCCAAGCAGCGGCCCAGGAAATTGACATTAATGGGTAAGAGAGAGCAGTTTTCACTTAGTTATTCCTGTATTTAAACAGCTCTTGCTCTTAAGTCAAACCATATATTTACCTGGTTTTAGGTAACCTTTCCTTTCAGGTGAGGTTTTTCTTAGTCAGTCTGACTGCCACACTTTTTTGGGTACATGTGTTTTTACTCATCTGTTTGTTCAATGAATATAAACTTTTGTGCACTAATTCTTTTGCAGGAAGCAACGGGCATGAGTTTGTATTCCTTCTGAAAGGTCACGAAGACCTTCGCCAAGATGAAAGAGTGATGCAGCTTTTTGGGTTGGTCAACACTCTGCTAGCAAATGACCCAACTTCTCTTCGTAAAAACCTCAGGTGTGTGTGCTCTGGGTAATCACTGAAAGTGCTTAAGCATGTGTAAATCCTTACAGGTAAACCTTGGCACAAGCAGTTGTTTTGTGAAGAAATGGCAAATCTTGGAACTAAGTTATAAAGAGTATTTATAGAATTCAAACATGGAGAGCATGTATCTGAGGGGATTTTTTTTTTTTCTCTTTAATTGAAGTGCTATCTTGTAAATTGTTATGGTCTTTGAAGAAGTGCCTATTTCAAGACACCTTGTGCACTGCCTTAGGAGCCTGAGAATGGGTTTTTGCCAAAGCTTTTTTTATTATAGTCACTAAATAGCTTGAAGAGTCACTGAGTGCAATTCTGCAGTGCCTTTCAAGCAAGAACACATCAAACAAATCGTGCAAATAGGAGATCATCGTGGGTGACATAACATGTACCTTCTGAAAGCAACCTTTTAATGAAAAACATGTAAATTTGGAGTTTATCTGTAGATTATCTGGTAAAAATCTGTGCAGAATGGGTGTTTGAAGTCTGTTTGAAAAGACAAGCAGAGCAACTATTGACAAGACAATTTGGACCAGAATCAGATTTAACAGTAGTTGTTTCAAGCATCTAAAAATCTAATAAGTTACAATATACAACAATTTGAGCTGTGATCTCCATTTTTTCCCCCAATAGCATCCAGAGATATGCTGTTATTCCACTGTCTACAAATTCAGGCTTAATTGGCTGGGTGCCCCACTGTGACACGCTGCACGCACTCATCCGAGACTACAGGGAGAAGAAAAAGATCCTGCTCAACATCGAGCATCGCATCATGCTGAGGGTAAGGGGCAGAGCTGGCAGAGCTTTTGGGACATTCTTTCAAGACATCAGTGCCTTAATGAAGGAGAATGGTGCAAGGCTTCTTTCTCTCCCTCTTCTCTGATTGATACAATAAATTAAAAAATAATAAATAAGAGTTATAGCTTGCCATATGTTTATTTGTTTCTCGTTTCCAGTTTTAGCAGTGACCACAAGTTGTTGCCATCTGGTGACTGATATGTGTTTGGAATTTTGAATGACTGTGATGTGTCTCATACAAGGTGCTGCTGGCATTGCAAACATTGTGTCTAAGGGCCAAAATTAGACAGACTGGAGAAACTGAACACTACTAGAAAATTTGGAATTTCCTGCCAAAAAGGAAAGTGTGTGCCAGCCCAGAAGACTTATTTGGATAATGGTTTTTGAAAAATACTTACCTATGCAGTTTTTTAGTTAAACAGGGCTGTGTGCTACTGACTTTGGGGATACTAAATCATTTTCTATCCTATTTAAAAAGAATTCTTCACTGTTGTGTGGTCATCTTGCTGTGTTTGAAACACACTCGTCAGTCTACCAATAGTTTAAGTATAAACTTGATATGAAATTATTTAAGATTTCTGTGTTTCTCACAGTACAGCCAGAGGCTGCTGGAGGTGGCTTTAATTTGCTGAATGTCACTTCTGAATTACAGATGGCTCCAGACTACGACCACCTGACTCTGATGCAGAAAGTAGAAGTATTTGAACATGCTGTCAATAACACAGCTGGGGATGACCTTGCCAAACTGCTGTGGTTGAAAAGTCCAAGCTCAGAGGTGAGATCAACACAAGTACTGGCAAACAGCAGAGTGTGTAATTATCTTCTCTGCAGAATGAGTGAGAGATGGAGTTTATTTATCCTAAACCCCAGCTGAATCACTGCAGGACACATATCCACACATGTATCCCCACACAAGGGGCTTCACAAGGCTCAGAGCAGAAGTGAAGTGCAAAGCACAAGACTGGAGATTTTAGACTCCATATATATATAGTGTTATATAATTTAGTCACCATATAGATATATATATATTCTCTCTGCAGGGGAGAGAAAAGCAGGAGCCTCAGAATTTATTCTCTTAATAACTTAGACATCTAATCCAAGAGCACAAGGTGTTTAAACCCCCTCAAACTTACAGAGTACTGAACCTAAGCCTCTCACAGTTCTGCTTTGTGCAAAATGCAAATGGTTAATGCATCAGTTATAAACTGAAACATGCAACATACCTGCCTGGCTTTTTCTGTTTTATCTCCTACACTTGTAGGTATGGTTTGACAGAAGAACAAATTACACCCGTTCACTGGCTGTGATGTCAATGGTTGGGTACATTTTGGGCCTTGGGGACAGGTAAATAAAGCTGTAAAGGTTTATTTTATTTAAAAGCACAGACTTTGAAGGCTATCAGTTCATTCTTTGAATCTGTTCTTGTGATAACATCTTCCATTGTGGTTACTGCTGAGTTGTAATGATATTATCATCTCTCAGCTCCTAATTATGCTGCTGTTATTCTGAGCACTGCAGGGGTGAGATGCACTTTGTGTATCATGAGTACAAATAAGACTTTCTTCCTTTTTGAAATTAATACACATGGAACTACATTAAGGACCACAAGTTCTAATTTTGCCCTTTCACAGAATGGGAAACCTTTCTCCATCCATTTTATTAACATTATAACTTCCAAAATAGTTTTGAAGACAAGGTATATTAGATTTAAACTCTGTAATGCAAAAACAGCTAAACCCTTAAATGTTTTAGTAACAAGAACTCTTATTTCTGAACTTTAAAGTTTCTAACATGAAATTATAAACCTTTGAAAATGGAATTAAAACAAAATTGGAAGATGTAAGCATGAAACAAAACTGTAGTTTTGTTAGTCTGGATTGATTTTCTTCTCCCTTGATGGTAAAACAATCTGTGTTACTTCAAGTGCAGCATAATGTATTACATTTTTCTACACTTAAAAAAAAAATAATAAAAAGCATAAAACAAGTGGAAAAATTTATCCCAACTGAAAAATAAACATTCATATGCAAGATATGTACTGATCATTCTTGTCCAGGAAGTTATTTGTCTTCCAAGGTGAGAAGATCTTTAACTCATGAGAGGTAATTACAAAAGTAATGTGACAGATGCACTGTCAGGGAGGTTTCCTGTTTGTCCTGAGATTGAAGATTTCAGACAAGCAAGCTGTCACTGGCTGTTCTTCTTCATGAAGATAAATATATTTTCAGACTGGAGCTGCTGTGATTTACTTTGGGTTTTTGTAATAGTCTGTCACCAATGGTCTGTTTTTTCTCTCACTCCTTCACCAAAGACACCCTTCCAATCTGATGTTAGACAGACTGAGTGGAAAGATCCTGCATATTGACTTTGGGGACTGCTTTGAGGTAAGTCTTTGTATTTGGACATGACATTTTCAATAATTCTCACATTTTCTGGTGGAATAGAAATTAATCTATAAGTCAGGACAAACTGACCTTGGAGTCTGTTCCTGGGCAAGCCCTTGGACTCTCTTCTGAGCCTCTCTTTACCTGCAGGCAAGTTGAAAATAATAGACACTTTATCTCAGAAACATGTCTTTGGGATTAGCTGGCTACTGGAACAAGCAAAGAAGTGTTAACATCACTTCCATGAAATTTCTTGGAGCAATTTAAGCTGCTGAGAGGCAGTCTGTGTTGCTGGGCACATGCTCGAGTTTTCCCTTTGCTATCAAGTTAATTATCTAGCTTCTCCCAGTAATTTGTGAAAACTGAGGAACATAAAAATGTGACTTTATTTACTTTATGTCCTATTTGGAATAAAATCTTCAAGATTGTAGCAAAAAGATCCCAGTACTTAATAACTTTTTAAAAGTAATTTAGCTATTAATTTACTTATTCTCCATCATTATGTGTTTAGGTTGCAATGACAAGAGAAAAGTTCCCTGAGAAGATTCCATTTAGATTAACAAGGATGCTGACAAATGCTATGGAGGTAAGCATTCCCTCTGATTTGGAGTGGATGGTTCCTAGGGAAAATTGCAACCATTTCTCAGTTTCTTCTGTATATTTTTGTTGTGGCTAAACTTTACCACTCCTTAAGAACCAGAGGTGTTAATATTTCAGTTTCATTTTCTATGAGTTAAAATATCTCCTGTGATATCTGCAGTACATTACAGTGGAAAGCAACTTTTTAGTTAGAAAATAAACTACCCAGAAATTCCTCCAATTTGTTTGGCCTTCCTTAGTCTCCCCATTTCAAACAGCTGTTTATATCAACCAGACAGAGTCAGCTGCATGGCACTTTACAAAGATCATCTTCATGGAGAGCTTCTTAGTTTGTAATTAATGTGTGTCTTGTTCTCTTAATGAACAAAGCATAGTGAACTCCAGTTCAAAGCTACTTCCTGCTCCCTGAGTGTTTGGCTTGGAGTTGCAGAGTGAACAAATCAGTAGTTGATTCATTTCTTTTTCTTCCAAAGGTGACAGGCCTTGATGGGAACTACAGAATCACCTGTCACACAGTGATGGAGGTGCTGCGTGAACACAAGGACAGCGTCATGGCTGTGCTGGAAGCCTTTGTGTATGATCCCTTATTGAATTGGAGATTGATGGACAGTAAGTGATTCTGATAAATTAGTGACAGCAAGAGAATATTCATACATGAAATCCAGAAGCCTGAAAACCAGTGTTTTCAAACAATCTGTTAGTTTGCATGTGCTGTTTCTGTGTGCACACGGTTTTAGGGATTTTAGTATGAAATTACAGCAGTGATCAGGAGGTTGAAATAGTTTCCAGGTGACATCAAATCAGGAGAAGGAGAAAGGCAGCCAAATCTGTATTGTTTGTGGACAAATTTTCTTTCAAACACTGAAACTCCAGTTCATGCTTCCCAACTCCTTGTTTTCTTGCAGCAAATACAAAGGGCAACAAGCGCTCACGAACAAGAACAGACTCCTACTCAGCCAGTCAGTCAGTAGGTGAGTAGAAAAGATGGTAGATGTCACAAATATGCTTTTCAAATTAGCTGATTAACAGTCCTGCTAATGTTTCCAGAAGAATATTTCAGCTGCTTTTCAGCTCACATTTATACTTTTGTGTTTTCATGGTTTTTTTCAATAGAAATGTTGGACAGTGTGGAATTGGGTGAGACAGCCCATAAAAAAACTGGAACCACAGTGCCTGAATCCATCCATTCCTTCAGTAAGTTTCACTGTTGCTTCTATACAGACCCAGAAACTGTTCTTAGATCAGAAAATTTCATCATGGTCTAAATGCAATTGTATGAGATGGGACAGACACAGTCTCTTGTCAGCATAAAAATTATCTGTGTTCTCAACTCCCACAAAGAGTTGTATCTATAGAAAATGCATCTAGGTTTGCTTTCAAAATGGTATTTGGAAAGGGCACATCTAACAGCAGTACAAATGCTTTTATTGTTCAGATTGAAGTCCTAATTCTGTGTCCTGTTTCTGTCTTTTAGTAGGAGATGGTCTGGTGAAGCCAGAAGCTCTAAATAAGAAGGCAATTCAGATCATCAACAGGGTTCGAGATAAGCTCACTGGTGAGTGTGTAGTTATGTTTATATAAAGAAACATAAAATCTGATGGATCAGCACTATTCTTAGTGATTCTATTTTCTGTTAATCCTTTAATTTAACATATTCTGATTAAGTGGATGAGGCCATTTTCCTGTTTTTGTCCTGTGCCTGCATTTAGATACAAGGAAGTCTGATTTGAAAAGTACAGAGGTGTTTGTAACTACAAAGATTTAATATTTTGCATGTATTAGCTTGTTAGTGGAAGCTGAATTTCTACTGTCCTGGCTTCATAGTTTGCAGCATTTAGTTGCAAAATTTTACACTTTTAAAGTTTATAAGAAACTACTCCCCACCTGCTAGATAATGTACTATGAAGGGATTAGTACCAGGATTTGTGACTCCTTTCATGGTTTTTTTATCCTTTTATTTCAAAGGTCGAGACTTCTCTCATGATGAAACTCTTGATGTGCCCACACAAGTAGAACTGCTCATTAAACAAGCAACTTCTCATGAGAACCTGTGCCAGTGCTACATTGGATGGTGAGTTTGTCACTCAGCTAACCTGGCAAAACTCTTCTGGAACAGTGTGAGCAGGGAACTGCTAAAGAGAACCTCACTTGTGTAGTTAGTTATTTATAGGAGCCTTACCACATACTGCATCTGATCTGGTAGATTCTGCAAGCCCATGGCAATGCCAAACAGTCCTCTAGGAATTTTTTTTTAATAAGAAATGACAAGGATTTTACATTTTAAGTGTTGGAAATAAGGAATGTGGTGGTCAGTGCTTTCAGTTACTCTGAAGAACAAAACAAACATGACTTAGTGTCATTTTAAGAGTTAGATAACTTAGAACTATGCTGAAGGAAATAGATCTCTTTTCTGCTAATGTTTAAAAGTGATAAAGATCACCTGGCAACTTTGCCTGTGCTTAGATGATGCCTAGTCTGTGTAGAATCTCAGTCCTTCTCAGTGTTGCCTTTGTGAAACTACATGCAAGTCAACGTTATTACAATATCTTTCTTTTTTTTAGGTGTCCTTTCTGGTAACAGGAGATTCCAGAGTATGCACAGCCTTTTATTCTGGAGGCTTTTTCACTCCAAACTTGCTCTTCTACAAACACAAATTGAACGTTGGACTGAAATACAGCCTTTGTCAAATATTTTTAAATGTAAATGATAAGAGTTATTGTATATTAAAAGTTGGTGTAAGCCAATGTATAGCTGCTGTTGGAAAAACAAGCTGTCTGAAACACAACACTTGATTTGGGTTTCCAGGACAGTGAAGACTGATTGTACCACAGATGTCTATGGTTCCTTTTTGTCTTTGGGGAACTGGAGATCCATTGAAAATAACTATACGGGTTTTCACTCACTTTGCAATGTAACTAAGTAACTTGCAGATTAATTATTGCCCTGGTCATTCCTGTTGATGTGGGTGCAGTGAGCTAAATGCGCTTGTGCAGGAGGCTTCATTTAGGTTTGAGGGGAGCTGCATAACTGGAAAGAAAGAGAAGTAGAATTTACCATTGTTTCCCTCCTGTACCTTGTTTTCAAACTTGATTCTTGCCCCAAAATTGGAAATTGTCTATCTGCTCATTACACTAGTTCAGGATTTCTGTTTCTGACTAGATCAGGGTTTTGAGCACATCCAAGATTTGAAAATGTTGAGCTGAGCAAAGTCGGGGTGCCTCTGTGCAGAGTGATCGGTGGCAAACTGGATGCAGGGTACAAATAAATACCACTTGTGTGCCTCCTGCAGTGTCTGGGTTAAAAAGCAGTGCTGAGAAATAACTAGAGAAAGTTCAGGTTTGGCACAGGAGGCAGACTGGGAGGGGAGAACTGGTTGTAACTTGAAACAGAAAATAATGGTTATTAAACATGAGGTTGAAGATAAAGTTATGATTTATTAATTAAAAACATTAAAAACAATGCACAAAATACAACAGAGTAGCCATGTTTAGATGCCATGTTGTATTTGCATATTTTTGTGCCAATAAATGACATCAAAATGTAAACGCTTTGGCTGTGTTCTTGTTTATTCCTGAGTCTTTATTAGGCAGGCACAGGGAAGCAGATTACAATTCTTTTAAGGTTCCTGCTGCCATTGATTTGTCTTTTTGTGCATCAGTTCAGGTCGTTGGTTTTATTTCCCTTCTGATAGCAGCTGAATGAAGTCTGTCAGTTATATAAAAAACCTGTGACCATGCAACCCCTACATTTCTGTTTTCCAGGAGATGTGATGGCATCTGTGTGATGGGAACATCAGGCTTCCTCGGGCTCAGGGTCACAGCCACAGCTCCAGGCACAGCTGGAGTGTTGGACAGGATTCCCTGGGCTTCCCCAGCTGCTTGTGCAAAATGCTGCACTCCAAAAGTGGGAAATGGAGAGGTGGCAGTCAAGGATCTGGGTATTGGCCCTAGCCCTTTTCTGGGCACTGGTGTTGCTATCAAGGGCACTGGACACCACAATATAAGAAAGATTATTAAGCTGCTAGAGAGTGTCCAAAGAAGGGACAGGAAGACGATGAAGAGCCTGGAGAGGAAGAGGAGCCACTGAGAGCACTTGGGCTGAGGGGAAACTCATCGCAGTCTACAACTTCCTCTTGAGGGGAATAGGATGGGCAGGCACTGATCTCTGCTCTGTGGTGACCAGGGAAGGGCTGGAGCTGTGCCAGGGAAGTTTTAGGCTGGATATAAGGAAAAGGTTGTTCCCTCAGAAGGTGGTAGGGCACTGAACAGGCTCCTCAGGGAACCATCATGACCCAAGGCTGCCAGAGCTCCAGGAGCATTTGGACAACACTCTCAGGTACAAGGTGGGATTGTTGGGGTGTCCTGTGCAGGGCCAAGAGCCGGACTCGATGATCCCACTCGGGATCTCCTGTGATTCTATGGGTCCCACCGTTGTTTGTGGGGGGAAAAAGGCCGAGTCTGCCTCACAAAAGCCCAGCCGGGGGAATGGCCCTCGGGGGATGATGGCCCTCGGGGGATGATGGCCCTCGGGGGATGATGGCCCTCGGGGGATGATGGCCCTCGGGGCCCCCCTCCCTCACAGGGCTTGTCCTGCCCCGTCCTGCCGCTGGGGGCGCCTGCGGCCCCGCTGCTCTCCTCTCCCCCCTTCCCGCCACCCGTGCTGCGTTCTCGCGACAGCGCCGGATTCTCGCGACAGCGCCGCGCATCAACATGGCGGCTGCTGCCCGTGAGGAGAGCCCGCCGGTGCGGGCGGGCGCCTCCTGGATGCCCGCGGGCACTGAGGGAAGCAGCACGATGTCGACCCTGCCCGGGTTCGACAACCCCGACGCCTTCGTCAAGGTGCGGTCCGAGAGGGGCAGGGGGAGCGGGGTAGGCACTACCGCTCCCGGCGTGCCGTGTGCGCTCGGGCCATGCCGGGAGCTGTAGTTCTGTCCCGCGGGGGCCGCCTGGGGACCCCAGCCTGAGCGGGTGACACCCATAGGGTGTCCCCCAATGCGAGAAGGGGGGTATGGGCCGGGCCGGCGGGTGTGGGGGCCAGAGAGGTGTATCGGGGCCTGTTACCGGCCTGTGTCGGGCCCTGTTAACCACCGATTCCTGGAAATGCCACGGAATCGGGATCCTCGTGAGGGCCCGGCGCGATGGGAATTGCCCCTAGCGTTATAAATCGCAGCGTTAGCTCCCGTGTGTTTTACCTGTGCACGATGCTGCTTCCAGAGAGGGAATGGCTGCCAAATAGGAAGCGTTGCAGAGATTTGAGGTGTTTTGTTAAAGGAATAAAGTAATTATCTGAGTTCCTGCTGATTTAGAATTGTAGAATATCCTGAGTTGGAAGGCTCCCACAAGGATCGTCGAGTCCAGTTCCTGGCCCTGCTCAGACACCCGTACGATCCCACCTTGTGCCTGAGAGCATTGTCCTAATGCTCTTGGAGCTGTGGCAGCCTTGGGGCCGTGCCCATTCCCTGGGGAGCCTCCTCAGTGCCTCCAGTGCCTGATCACTAGTTTTCAGACTTTTATCATTTAAAGCTGTCTAAATGAACTACGTGAAATTACTCCTGGTGCAAAGCCCCACAATACCACACATCAGAACCATGCACTTCCAACCAGCCAGGCAAAGTGTGTTTCTATCAAAGAGTATCCTGAGTAAACAGAAACAAAATGCTGATAATGGTGTTCTTGCACAGTATGCTCTCGGCACAGTGGTGGCAGCAACAAAAGCATCTAATGGGCTTCCCCAGCCTGGTGATGAGTATGATTTCTACTGCAGCTTCCCTGGGTTCCGTGCATACTGCAGCACGCAGGGAGACCGCCTGCTCCACTGGTAAGGACCCTTTTGCATCCCTGGGCTACCAGAAGGTATCCCCCTTCTTTGGCAACTCCAAACTTGCCATAGATAAAAAGGTTTATTTCATACATCTGATTTTTAGCTGCTTCTCTAGCACTGGGCAGCTGAAGTGACAAGGTTAAAGAGGGCCTTTCATAATGACTGCCCGTGAAGGGCTGTGCACAGAGGAGCACCTGATACTGCACACATTAGGCTGTCCATTTTAAAAGTCATGTTTGTGAGAAACTAATTCTAACACTTAATACTGTGTAGGTGCTTTTTCTATTTACTGCACATGTGGTGTTATCTATAATTTGATTTATTTTCACCCTTTGAAGTGCAGAAAGTCAAAGAGAACTGGATGTTTTAGTGTTTAGATTGCCTGCTTTCATATTGCTGACAGCTGTGCTGTTCTCTTGCAAGCATGAGCCAGGTGATGCAGTACCATGGCTGCCGGAGCCTCATGAAAGATTCCAGCAAAGTGACGGGGCTGGAAGATAAATTTGATATGCTGGTGGACTCCAATGATGTCATTCTTGAAAGAGTGGTAAGCAAATTATTGCTGGATGTGGTTCTTATGAAGTGTTCAGTTGTCACAAGTTTTCTTTTTTGTTGCAAGAACTTTAGTGGTAGTGCTGTCACAATTAGTTACTATTTACTCAATCTTATGTATTCCCTTTTTATTTTAAAAACCCTTCCAAATGCTAGGCTAGACATCCCAACAGCTGAGGTAGGTGGGCCAAAGGGGAGAGAAGATAATATTGGCATGTGTGAGGAAACTAAATACAATTTAACATAAAATCCTCACAGCCTGAGAACATGTCTGTACATTTTAGAGTGCTTCTCTGAAGAAACCCATCCCTGATGTTCAACATCCTCCTCCCATGTTTGTCTGTCTTGTGTTGCACAGAATTTGGGGGAGATGGCTATGGAGGTACCTACCTACATGACTTTCTTTACTCAGTCTGACTAGAGTGTCTGAGTGTGGTGATTTAACAAGTGTTTCACATTGTTTTTCTGGATTTTAGAGCATTTTATTGGATGAAGCAGCAGGAGTGAATAGAAACAAGCAGCCAGTTATGCCATCTGGGTTACAGCCCCCACAGATGATCGTTTCCAGCTGGAACCGTAAGGTGAGGGCCCCATGCTCAGTTTGGCTGTGTTAGCTCAGCTGTTCTCCCAGTCATTGCACTGCCAGTTCTGCAGTGGAGTTGAGTAGTTAAATGTTCTCTCATGTTCTTTCACACATTCTGAGTACCTCTTTCTTTTTTCCTTTTCTCTGTTAATTCAAACTTGATTCTGAAATCTCTGTGCTTTCAATTGCCATTTCAGTTTCACATGCTCAGCAGCCTTTCCTGTGCTTATGAATTCAGGATCTTGAGTGCCAGTACTTTCATTCCTCACCAAAAAAATGTTACTTAGTTTTAAGTGCAGTGTATAACTCTTCCTCTGCATGCTGGATCAGACTGAGTAAAAGAAACTCTGGTTATCTGATAAGTCATGTTGGTTTTACCTCTGGTTTTCTTTTTTTGAATAGGCAGGAGAATTCCACAAGAGAACTCAGTCTGAAACATTCCGACTACTTCATGCCAAAAATATTTCTCGACCACAGCTTAAGTTTCGTGAAAAGATTGACAATTCCAACACTCCCTTTGTACCTAAACTTTTTGTCAAACCAAATGCTTTGAAGCCTTTGCCTGAAGGTAAGGGGTTTATTTTTTTTGGGGGGGTAATTTGTTGCAAGTATTTGACACAAACCTGTCCTCACAGTCTAGAGGAGAAATCACTGACTGTGAAAACAAATAGCAGGAGATGTTGAACATTTGGCTGTAATGATCGTGGTGACACTATTGTTTCCATATGTGTGATGTCAGAGTAGGTCAGCAAACAACATCTTCTTGCTGATGTACAGCAAATAATCTGTTCCAAGCAGATAATCTGCTGCTGCTTTTTACCACCTTGAACATACATGAGAATCACTGTTGCATGAGAACTCTTGACTAGTCTAGCTGGCTTTACAGATGTTCTTTCAGATGAGTGAGCTGCAGTAGGTGTGTGGGGAGACCTGCCTCTGGTTTTGGTGCTTTATCAAGGCTGCTGGTAACACCCTGTGTCGGTAACACATTCTGCTGCTGCCAGTTCATCTGTGTTCTGCACTGATGCTTTCAGTAACAGTTACTTTCAGTAACCAGGAATGATTGAATTTTTTTTTTCTGAAGATTTTTCAATTTCCATCCAAGCTTTTGAGTAAAACCACCTTGTGTCTTGCCTAAAAACAGACAAGTAACTAACCAAGTTGTTATTCGAGATACAAAATGACATCAAAAGCACTAAATTGTTAAGATTTTTGATACTTCATAAACTCTTGTGGTGGGTGGAGAGGGAGATAGTAGTAGGCTGAGAACATGTTACGTGGGGGACCCAGTCCAGTTATTCCATATTGGTTGTTCAGCCCTTACAAAAAGTGGACGGCAGAGAAAGGAGCGCCCTGAGGACTTGGATGTGCCAGCTGCTTTGGCAGACTTCATACATCAGCAGAGGACCCAGAAAACTGAGCAAGACATGTAAGAAACTAACCTGCCAGCAAGGTGCTTGGAGTCCCCTGGGTGAACCTGTGTGGTCAGACTGTGCTGATGCTCATCATGTTTAACAGTTCTGCATGTGTTTGTGTCCACACTACGTTGTGTGTGATTTGCTTTAGATCTCTGCAGTTATGTTAAACCTCTGCT